ACAACCAAAAACCCCTCACAGAAAACCCAAACCCCTCACAGAAAACTCAATACACCCAAACATACTGTGACAGCCATTCTTACAGAAAACTGGGTTACCCAAATGTTTCAGAAATCTTTTTAGGAAGATACGACATAAAAATCCTTTGCTCTGAAATGATAAGTTACTTACTTCAGGGTCCAGTTTGAGATTGAGCCATTCATCGAGCTTCAGCAATGCCAAATTAGCAGTTGTTTTGTCCTCCATCTCGCTATCACTGTTATCACTAGATACCTCATGCCCTGAATTAAATATAAAAGGTTAACATTTCTGTATTATTTCCACTTACATAGAAAAAAACCTGAACACTACTGTATTAACATATTGAAACCCATTTTCCTTCTATATTTTACTTTAAAATATAAACACACTTGTAAGATCACTTTTTACTTTCTGCAAACACAGCACAGTGAAAAAGTCTTTGCTTCAGTTAGCAGAACTCAAGTACCCGCTGAGGGCCCTGCTACATAAAATGCCTGTATCGATACAGTGTGACTCACTCATGCACCTTCATCAATACCAACAAGCCATTATCAGACTTATGCCTGAAGTTGTTTTCAAAACAACACATACTTAAATCTGCTGTGTTACTAGGAAATTAGAGACTCGTTAAGAAAAAAAACAACAACATATACATAAGGCCATTAAGTAGGATTCTAGTTTTTTTAAAGTGCAATTCAATCAGCATAAACACTATTTTAAGGGTAATAGTTTATGAGCAAGACAGGAAATCTTCAAAAATAACTTAGACTTCTACTTTGATTCAAACCAGTATTTCTACAGAACTGGCAACAGGATAGGTTTTTTTTTTGCTTCTATTCCTACAGCACCCCATTTAAATAAAAATAGGGAAATTCCTATATACTTCCTATTTCTTCTAGTTAATAGTATAGCTAACTGTCATTAAAATTTCTCAGTTGAAAATAATCTCTACAATGCACATTTCAGCTGCAAGCAGTATGAGTATTTTCCATCTTGATAGGTTCTAAATTATTATCCAGGTGCAGTAAGTCCGTTCAAAGTTTCAAATAAACTGGTCTGCAGAAAAATCGTACTACTACACTTTTCAGCATTACTATTCTCATTAGACATTTCATCTGCATTTTTTATTTCATTACAAACTATACTGTAATTTCTGAGACTTCAGAACTATGCAAGGGTAGTTTACGGATATTAATCTGTCAGGGTTCACAGAACTGAGTCATTTATTACAGAGCCTATAAATTATTCTTGATCAGCTACTGGAACTACAGCTCTGTCATTTTAAGAATTAGTCAGTATACGTATCAAATATTCTTGCAAAATAAGCGTTCCAAATCATGCTAATATACACCAACGGAAACATTCCAAATTCAAACCCAACTATACCTCGAAAGGATGAAGGTTCCTGCAAAGCATTACTTGGTAACTTAGCTGGTCCACAGAAGAGTGACACAGTGACAGGTGTTACAACAGAACAACATCTGATATTTGCTATCCTGTGAGCTCTTGTCATTTCATCATATATAAGCCAGTCTGTAGGAAGTGCATGGATGGCTGCAGTTTGCCCATTTGTAGGGGGGATCTGTGCAAGAGCAAGTAAGACTAGGCTACTTTACTCTCTATTTGTAATTAAGATATATTTTAACATATTTCTTATTCTATGCATGTAAAAAGCAATGCATATTTATATACACATAAAATTATTTACATAAATAAAAAAGCGAGAGAGAACTCAACCAGACTCACAAATTTATCCTAACACCTTGAAACAAAATATTCTGCTTTAAAGAAGAGTCTAAACAAAAACAAACAAACAAACCCAAAACCCAAAAACAACCAACTAAAATTAAAAAAATCAATTTTGGAGAAGAACTCCTTCCTGCTATTGTAAGCAGGGATTGTTTTATCTTTTTTAAAAACTAGTTTGTTTTTTTTTACTGTTTTGTCTTGCTCCATCTAGAAGAAGGACTAACTCTGAACTAAGTTTTGTTGAAATAGTATTGGAAAAATAAACCAACTCCAATTCATTATTTTATTAACCGTCAGGAAAAATATTTTCTAAAAATGTAGTGTTTAATGCACAGGCTGCTTTTAAAGTACTGACAATTATGAAGAGGCATTTCTAAAGCATTTGATAGAGTAAAGCACTCTTTTTTGTGCGCTATAAATTCCAAGTGATTTTACCTTTTTATACTGAGGTTGACTAAGAACAGAGGTAGGATGAAATCGCACTTTCTTCTCCTTTGGTCCAGTCAAAACCAGGTTTTCCCTGTCCACATGCACCAGATTGGGATACATCCCAGCCACTAAGGCAGCTTTGACAACAGCCCAGTTTTCAGAGTTAGTATTAACGTCTCTAATATCAGCTCCTCCTCTGACTCTAACAAAACCTGAAGAGAGAAGAGGACAAAAATGTGTTCTATTTGATTGTATTTAAGATCTACTTTTTTGCATCTCAAAAGAGATTTGGAAAAAAAAAAAGTGAAATAAACTACAACTTTGTTGCGTTTTTCACCACTGCCAACCTTAACAGTACCAAAAAGAAACCACTATACTGAAATTCTTCTTGGTAAAGGGTTTTATACTAACATAGAATAGAACTACCTTTTACAACACAAAGACATTTCCTACGGATATAATTCATTAGAATGCAACAATCCAAGAGAATGTATCTCACACTGAACGCCAGTGGCACGTGGATTAACTGGGGCACTTTTAGTTAAATAAACTGCTCCCCAGCCACACGTCCTCACTCTGGCATCTGCACCAGTCTCAGAATTATTGCCTGCCAGGCTGTTCCAAACTAAGGAATGAAAATTACACCAGTGATTGTTATAATTTGTATACATTTGTACTAGGTGTACACTTGAGTGCAAAACTATGTTGAAATTTTTTCCAAGCTACTTACCTGAGGCTCTAAGCTGGCCAAGTAACTGTGTTCTCATTCCTGTGATGATTTCCATTGTGGCTTGAGACAGAAAGTTCTTTTCACAGAAGGCTCTCTCCCAGCCATCACTGCATGCATTCTGCCACGCCTGCAAAGAGTATTTTTCACATTTGCCTATTAATCTAACTAAAATTCTTAAAATGTTCTTTTTCAAAAAAAGTGACATCTACATCAATTTAAAAATGGCAAAAGTTATCCATTCTGAAAGAAAGGAAATTTATCATACCAGACCTTTTTTGCCTGGTTAAGTACCAGATTCTCCGTACTCATATCCTAAATCAACATAATGGTCATTTTGTTATTATAAGATCATTATGTTCTTATAAAGATCACTCTGTTAAGATCATTTTAAGTGATCAGTGTTATGGGACACAAAGTGGCACCTTGTTGGAACATTCAGAATTTAATCAGGTTTGAGAATATGAACAAAAAATCTGACAAAGTGTTCCCTCACAAATTTATGAGTCCAATATACAAGAAAGACACTTGGCAAAAATAAAAGTTTCTTCTCTAAGGACTTAATCATGGCCTATCATTCTACACCCAACTTGACTGGTACATCATTTACTTTGACATGTGATCTATTGTGGTTACTACTCTTTCTGAATGAGAGGTAGTACCTGGAAAGCCCTGAGAAGCGCCATATGGTCACTAAATGTTCCTGCAGTAAAACGTTTTCTACTCAGCATGGCTGCACGCTTTTGAGAGGCCAGTGTAGGTAGGACAAAAGGGTCCCGGTATGCAAGAGTGCAAGCAATAGTAAGAATAGGATCCAGGCACTTCAAAACAACAGCACACACGACCATTTTACCAAGGTGTGGTTCTATTGGTAATCCAGTGAGATGATAACCAAGTTCAGTGAGATCTTCCCAAGGGTCCATGGCATCTATTGTCTGTTTAAAGAAAAAACAGAAAAAAAGAAAAAAAGAAAAAAACCCAACACATCAAAAAAAAGGAGACAGAAAGTGGACAAAAAAAATGTATAATAAAAGCAGAAAGGATGCAAATACTGGACAATAACTAGACTTGTTTTCAAACAAAGAAAGCAAGTCAAACTCTTAACAGTTGGAGACAAAATTTTTAAGCAGTTTCTACCCTTTAAATGGAAAACATAGATACACTTGCACAAAATGAAAACAGACACCACGAAAAAAACCCTCAAATCATCCTTAAGTAACTACAGCCTCAGTACAAACATAACTCAGTAAGATATGTTAGCACACCACCCATACAGAATCTAATAAAATTCACACTTACATTTATTCTTCTGCTTACCTTAAGCATTTGCACAGCATTTCTCACAATTAAAGCTGGTGGAGGATCAGGAGCTTTCATCAGAAAGTCGACAATCGAACAATTAACTGGAGCTAGAAGTTTTGTATGTAAACAGAGCTCCTGCAAGTTTAAGAAAAAAAAATTGTTAAGATTTGGGGAAAGAAAATCACTTTTTGATGACATTTTTTTAGAAGTTATAATTTCTAACTGAATGTGCACCTGAAGTGGCATTCTTAGAAGTTCTGGAGTCTGAAATTCCAACATATTCTGAAATCGGAGCCTGCTGAAGAGATGAAAACAGACTCCAGGTTGACAGCGCCCAGCCCTTGAAAATAAAATAAGGGAAATAGTAGAAAATTAGAATTTCTTTAAAAAAATTAAAAAAACCAACACACACATACACACACACACAAACAAACAAACAAACTTAGAATGGAAATATAGAAGCAGGTCTAAG